AGTTGGACCATAGCTTTTTGTAAGCTGTTTTTTCTCCTTAGCATACCACTCCTCTTCCTTCTTTTACTCTTCCCTTTGGTTGGTGAAAGCACTTGAAGCACCTCACAGGGCATAGATACATGGCACATAGCTGTCATATGGTCTGGGCTTCCCTCTGACATTACATAAAGTTGGAGGTTTGATGGAAGGGATTTGCAAAGGGATATAAGGTTGAGGGTCTCCACCATTTGTTTAACAGATGTTTACATTGGACATCATATTGTTTGTATTTACCACCACACTATCACAGCCTTACTTGATAAATAGATAATATTTAGTTGATATCATGAAACCATTATGTAATAATCCAACTGTTATATGCTGTAGACCTATTTCAGAACAATCTTTCAATCAATACACCCACTTTTAAGTTCAGTTATCCTGAACTATGAGCCGAATGGGTAACTGGGAATATTATTGGATAGTTTCTGGCCACAGAGTTGAAAATTTTCATTCCTTGCAAGAAATGAACTTCTGCATAATAATCATAATAACAATATTGTTTGTAGTCATCTGAGGTTTTGTTGGTGTAAATAAAAGATTTGATTGCCTGTGTATTTCAAATGCACAAAGTAAATAACAGTGACCCTCTGTGTTAAATCTATTTTAGCCACAATGTTCCTATTTTATGACCTCCCCCCCCAAAAAAAAAAAAAAAATCCTGGGTGTGCCCTTGGTCCAAACAGTCAGATCAAGACAGCTTATAATTACAATTGAAAGGCTAATGACTGAAAGATTGACTCCCTCTTCCTAACTAGGCAGTATTTCAGAATTTTTGGTGTAGCCAGTGTGGTCAACTTTCATAAGTAACAGGGTATAATTATCCTTTTATCCTTTATGGAATTTGCAATTTTCCATATAAGCTATGCTTGCCACCTGGGTGCCTTGCTGTGTGTACTTAGACCAAAGTCTGGGCGTTAGGATTCCTTAAGTGGTGAGTCTCACAGATGTGTGGATTGTAGGCCTGGCCCATGTGAACACTCACATCAAGACTTCTTGCCTGGTCTTTGCTATGCTATTGGCTCTTTTATGTGTGAATGTATTTTTGTGGCTTTGCCAATTTCTGTGGTCAGTATTTGTTATTTATTGTGCTGTATCATAGTGATAATAGACTGTCTTCATTGAGCAGACTTCATATTACTTCTCCGGGTAGTTAACACTGTGCAATAACAGTAACAAGTTACATTGTGATATATTTTGTATTTTCATATTAATGTTTCTGTAACATACCTTACTTTGCTGATAACAGCGAGTAGGAATAGGGCCCTGGGGACGGGCATAGTGTACCCCTCAGTGACTGCTCTCTCCTAGGCATGATTAATGGCTGGTAAATTTCACCCGCATAGACCGGTGGAATCTTGTTGGAGCTCTTGAATGAGGTCCTTCCTGAAGGCCTGCTTGTCAATCTCACTTCAAGTGCTTTATGCACTGATGTCGGGGTGTCCCGATCATCCGACACTCAGCTAAAATATACTGTGGCCAACAATTAATTATTTTTTTTACTTCGTACAAATTATTTCCATGTTACCGTAATGCAGATGGATACTGGGGTAATTGCTATTAAATTTGTATCGATGGTCATTATGTTCTGTTTAGTTTGTTAATATGGAATATGTGACAATGTCAGATATTTTGATGAAATGGAAGGAGAGCTGAAATAGATCTATAATTGTTGAATTTTATGTGAGTGCTGGAAGGCCCTGGACATAGATATTGCAGTTTCCAATCTAGGTAAAAAAAATCATTATACAGAATTTACATGATAGACAGATGCCAAAACATCCCTCATGATAGACAGATGCCAAAACATCCCTCACTTGATAGGCTGTGAGTATCTTCCCTGAGTCTTAAAACTATAAAAAAAATATTTTTAATGAAATCAGATTATATTCAAGTGATTTATGACATACCCACTCAAGTAGGTTTATTAGCTTATTCCTTTTTTGAAACTAGAGGTATCTCTTTAAAAGACTCTACAGTTAGCTTTACATTTACAAATGATTCTCAAGATGGTATAGACTGGTAAATTGCCTTGATGACTTCATATACCTTTTCCCACCTTATGTTGATAGTTGCAATATATGAAGTAATGTGGTCATAACTCCCATATTTTCCATACTTAGATTACAGACATGTCTATAGAAATTTGAGATAACATTAAGAATATCTTGAATCTTTTTACTAAAACAAACTTGATGCAAAAAAAGTATTATAAAGAAAACATTTACATCTCTTTCTTCTTTAGTCATACAACAGTCTTTATATAAATAGGACAAGGAAAGAGCAGTATTTCTCACTTTCCTATTCATACATTAGTATCTGGAATGTGTATATATTTTTATGACTTATTTTTATACTGGTATTATAAGTGGAAAACAAAATAGTAATATATTTTTACTGACAGGCCTGCCTTAAAGAAGAATGTATTTATGCGTGTAAGAGGACAACAAGTATTAGCTAGTGTTGCTAATCCAGAATCAGCAAGTACAGAATATCGACAAGCTCTGGGTACATCAAGAACAAATAAGCGGAAGTGTCCACTCATGCCACCTATGGATGCTACTCTACTGAATCCTGATCATCTGAGAGATATGTTGCTAGGTATGTTGGCAGAAAAGGAGCATATTTTTCACTGTTCTCTGTAATATCACTTATCCATTGTCATGGCAAAGGCAAAATGTCATAGCTTTCCTCTACAAACCCCTTTATATACTTTTTTCATATATGTTGATTCAAGATTGTGGATGATTTTTCATTGATCTTATCTGACAGTTAAATAAATAAATAAATAAATAAATTTATAAAAGCAAACTATATAGGAGGTTTAATAAATTATGGTTTCTGGTAGCTGAATTATATTTAAAGCAGTAACAGCAACCAGGATAGCCCTATCATGGGGAAGAGGGATACTATGTTAAGGCATGTATTATTACAACTTCATGATTTAATTTTTGTAATGTTTCAACCATAATTAATAAGACACTGTGTGCCAGCAATTTTGCCAGGCACTCCCTTTCAGATGGAAACCAAGCATCTAATTTTTTAGCAGCTAAAATAATTTTTGAGTCAAAACTCAGCACTAAGCATAAGAATACATTTAATCCTTGTTTCTTGAACATCATAGACTTCCCAGTGGATGCAGTGTAGAGAGATGACATATACATGGAATTCTTTTCCTCAGTGTACACATTATTGTGTTGAATTTGCTCAAAATTCTTCTGTTTGTACCTATTAGAGGATTCCTTCTGATACAGCTAATTGCATTCATAGTTATTAACTCCTTGGACCCAGATGGCATTGCAGTCACGTCAAAGAAAAACTTGGGCAGGTTTCTGGGTGACGTCAATCGGGCAAATTGGCTACTGCCCAGGTGACGGAACTGCCGTCATGAGCGAAGGCCAGGGTGACGGAAAAGACTCGTCACGAGTGCACAAACCTCTTGGAGTGTGATTTGACTCATTTGGCACTTATGAGGGGGCTGTATCATTATTCCCATCGATAAAAGAATGTGGAATGTAACATGCGTAAGCAGTGACTGGAAGAGTGCTGGCTCCAGGGAGGATGCCATTTCCATGCTGCGCACTATATTCCTGGCTGCTGTGACAGGCAGTGCAGGTTATATGATGTATATTTGAGAATTATGAAAAAACGAGATATATGACGCAAATAACCAAATGTTCATTTTTTTTTTTCTTATATGAGTTATTTACGACATAGAGAGATGATATAGAGTCTGTGCAAGAAAAATAAGTAATTACCATCTGGATAAAGCAAATCAAAATACAAATATGGACATTGGAAAATGGCGATAAAGCTAAAAAAAAGTTTACACAAAAAAAACTTTCAAAAAGGAGGCACAGAGTCTTGTCACCACTCATGCGTGTTTATCGCGCCTGGCCTACGCGCCACATGCTTGGGATGTTGGCCGCTTTTGTAACCCATTGCCCGGAGTTTTTAGCTCCATGATTTCTGTCATGCAACTGGATCCAAGGGGTTAAAGAAGAAAATATTTCCTCACAGTACACAAATGATTATGCTAATGTATTATACATGATACAAGTAGTATACAGTATTTCATGGCAGTCAGTTTTACAAAAATGAAGAGGATTCGTTTATGCCTCATCTACAGTCGTTTCTATAATATGACTCTAAAATTTTGATGGGATGTAATAATATTCAAATATCAAATGTTAGTGTTTCACAAAATGTTGGCTCTACCACCATTTTTTATATAAAAGGAAATTTCTGTCTCTGCTGCCTTGCCCTCTCTCTTACTCTCTACTTCTCCCTTTCTGTTTCTGTCTCCCTCTCTCCCTCTCACTCTTCCTCTAACACACACACTCTCTCTCTCCCTCTAACACATACATACTCTCTCTCACTCCCTCTAATAATCTGTCTCTCTCTGTCTCTCTCTCTCTCTCTCTCTCTCTCTCTCTCTCTCTCTCTCTCTCTCTCTCTCTCTCTCTCTCTCTCTCTCTCTCTCTCTCTCTCTCTCTCTCTCTCTCTCTCTCTCACCCCCTTGCCCTCTCTCGCTCTCTCTCTCTACTTTTCCCTCTTACTCTCTATTTCTGTCTTACTCTCTCCCTCTCAATCTTCCTCTAACACACACTCTCTCTCTCTCTTTCCCTCTAACAATCTCCTCTCCCCCCTCTAACACACACACTCTCTCTCTCTATCTCTCACACTCACAACACACACGCACGCACCACGCACGCACGCACGCACGCACGCACGCACGCACGCACCACACGCACGCACGGCACGCACGCACGCACGCACGCACCAGCACACTCTCTCTCTCTCTCTCTCTCTCTCTCTCTCTCTCTCTCTTCTCTCTCTCTCTCTCTCTCTCTCTCTCTCTCTCTCTCTCTCTCTCTCTCTCTCTCTTACATGTTTTATCATTGCCTTCTTTGTAATAGATCTAAAGCTCTGATTATATTACGATTATTTTTCTCTACACTGTGTTTCAAAGATAGAAGTTTAAGTGTCTTATTGGTGATTTGATGTCCATAGGTCTCATATATGGAGCAGCAATAGCAGATGCAATGGCATTGAACACTGAAAGGCTTAGTGAAGATGAGTGTCAATTCTACTATTGCCGAGAGAACATCATGCTAAAGGACAGAATTTCTGACCATCTCAGACTTCATTTCTCACCACATGATTGGTCATGTAACACTGATGTTATGGTAAGCTGGCTTGGATTTTTAGAAACATATGCTGAAGTAAAGAACTTTCTGAATCTGCTTTCCCTTTGAAGAAAATTGTACATAAAAGAATTATTACATTAAACAGGTAAACAGAGATGGGTACCTGTGAACAAAACTCCATTTAAAATTTGATATTATCTGGTCTTACAAATTTCCAGAGTAAATTTCAAAATCTATAACATAATTTCATACCAAATCATGATGGCTAATATCTTTACCCATAAAATCCAAGGATGGTGAGTGCATCTATACTTTTGATTTTTGATCTGAGCAGACACAGTGGAGCATAGTCTCCAAAATGGAGACTATGCTCCTATATATCTATTTATATATATATTTACACGTAAAAAAAAAAATATGTTCACACACACACACACACACACACACACACACACACACACCACACACACACACACACACACACACACCACACACACACACACACACACACGCACACACACACACACACACACACACACACACACACACACACACACACACACACACACACACACCACACACACACACACACACAAACAAACGCCTAATTTACCCCATATGCTTTGTATTATGTCTCATCTAGCAATAATACAAGCCTCTCTTGTTGTCTCTGTCTCTGTAAAAGGTACTAACAGTCCCTTCTATATAGTGTAGTTTGAATTACAGGTGGCGTGGCTAGTGATACACTGATTAGCTTCACACTTTATTTATGAGAAGTGATACAAGATAGAAGAACACTACGGCTGGCGGTGCTGTGTGGGACACTCTGGCCGGGCCTCGGAGAGGCAGCGGCTGGGAGGAGTGGTCAGCTCAGGTCAGGAGTGACCACCCCGGTCAAGGGCCGGCTCGTCGAGGTGTGAGGGAAAATGAGAATGAGAGGAGGTCAAGGTTTGACCTCCCTTTTATTCAGACCGGCAGCATGGCTTCTAATTTTAGAGATCATGGCTTCAGGTGAAGCGAGGGCAAGCAGGGATCGCGGGCATGCAAGTGGTCTAGATATGGACACACGTGGGGACCGCATGGTACACTATGCAGTATGCTATGCTATGCAGTATGCTATATTGCACCCTATATTTGCCTTGTGGTGGCAGTGGTGGGATTAGTGGAAATGATGCACAATACATATTTTTTCTTCTCTATGAAATGACAGTTGGTTCAAGTTATCCTTGCGGATAAATCAAGCAAAGTTCGTGAAAACTGCTACTCTCCTCTCCCTTATTTATTTTCTAACTGCAGCACGATCGCCTTGCAATGCCGTGAGATGAACATCGCCAGAAGATCGCCGCAGGCCAAAGTACGAGGACTTGCGACTGCAGGTATTAAGCCACCCAGATCAAGTGGACAGGTGCCACCTGTCAGGACTCCCATAGATCCAATGAAGAACCAGGAACTTGTCAGAGCAAGCCCAGGATGCTATGAAAAGCCACCTGCCTGGACGTCTGTGGATTGGTTAAACTCCAGGAGCTCCCCAGTGCAGGAATAAGCCGCCCTCAAATGAAAGGACACACCTGTCGGACACCGTAGACCCAGACGCAGGCTACGAGGATGTCGGTACGAGCTGCAGCTGAGAAGGTCCTGGACAAATCTTCGAGGATGTGTGGACACTGCTGCCGCAGAGTACCACCTGGATGAGGACTACGAGCACGACTGGACAACCCGAAGTCAAGGAGGACCTAGGCAAAACCTTCAAGGGCATGTGGACGTCAATTAAGGATGGATGTACCAAGGACCAAGATGAAGAGGCCAATAACGAGGAGATGCACGAGGATGACGAGAACAAGAACGCGACAAGACGACCAGCATATGGGGTCCGAGATGGGTCACCCTTGAAGAATTCAGATGATGACATGAGGACAAGATGTAACGTGATGGCTGAGCAATATAGGGTGCAATATAGCATACTTCATAGCATAGCATACTGCATAGTGTACCATGCGGTCCCCACGTGTGTCCATATCTAGACCACTTGCATGCCCGTGATCCCTGCTTGCCCTCGCTTCACCCGAAGCCATCATCTCTAAAAGTAGAAGCCATGCTGCCAGTCTGAATAAAAGAAAGGTCAAACCTTGACCTCCTCTCATTCTCATTCTCCCTCACACCTCGACGAGCTGGACGTTGACCGAGCTGGTCGCTCCTGACCTGAACTGACCACTCCTCCTGGCCGCTGCCTCTCCAGGCCCGGCAGGAGTGTCCCAAACAGCACCGCCAGCCTCCGTAGTGTTCTTCAATCTCGTATTGCTGAAGCTAATCA